GAGAGAGAGAGAGAGAGAGAGAGAGAGAGAGAGAGAGAGAGAGAGAGAGAGAGAGAGAGAGATGGAACTTCCCGGCTATGCGTGCCTGCACGTCTATTTAGGGCAATGAATCAAGAGAGATACAGGGAACTGCACGGTTGTGGTTGCCTTGCTACCTACACGACTAATCAGGGCGGTGAATGGAGGAAAGACGAAACTGCGCGCGGCTATGGTTTGCATGGCAATTCGAAGGAGAAAGCGGCGGAGACGACTGCACCATTATGGTGATGGCTGATTGCAGGACTAATCAGGTGGGAAAGATCGGGGGAGAAAGTCAAGAAGGCGATCTGGAGTATTCACTCAAGAGGTAGGCTCCTGCCTCCGATTTGCGCAGCCGAGTAATTGAATGAGAGAACAGGCGAGAGGGACGACGATATGGAGGAAGAACACGGCCCACCTTCTGTACGGCTATGGGGCTCACGGAATAGGATGAAGATTGAGAGAGAGAGAGAGAGAGAGAGAGAGAGAGAGAGAGAGAGAGAGAGAGAGAGAGAGAGAGAGAGAGAGAGAGAGAGAGAGAAAGCTATGGTTCGCAAGGTAATGGAGAGGGAGAAAGCGGAGGAGACTGTGGTTAGAGAGAGAGAGAGAGAGAGAGAGAGAGAGAGAGAGAGAGAGAGGAGGGAGAAAGCGGAGGAGACTGCGGTTACGGCTAATCAAGGTGGTGAAAATCGTGCAGCAAAAGTCTCTCAGTAGATAGGAAGCATTTTTAGCAGAGTGCCACGTGTCGATGAGACATACGGACAAGTATATGAGAGAGTAATTCAAGTAGGTGAGATACGTAAGTGGAAAAAAAACGAGTAATTGATAAGGGGTATGTATGTATGATACGAGGAGAATGGGAGAGAAAGGGGTGTACACTGTCTGGCAGCGCGGGAAGGGAGGGACAAGCTTGGGAGGAGGAGAGGGGGGAGATGTTGTGAGGAGGAGAGAAGTAGGCGAACGCTGTTGCTGGATACTGCAATTTGTCCCTCCCTTCCCGCGCTGCTGCTGGATACGACAAAGCGCGGGAAGGGAGGGACAAGCTCAGCTTTGGCGGGAAACGAATGGGGGATAAGACACGCGTCACGCGTTTTGAAAAACAAGGGGAGAGCGGGAAGAGCGTGAACGAGGGGAAGTGAAAGGGTGAGTCAGAGGGCGTGAGAGGGAGTGTGAGTAGAGACAGTATGGCAGTGAGCGAAGGGAAAGAGCGTCGCACACGTGCGCAAGTGTGTGACATGGGGAGGTTTGACGTGTCGATAGGGAAGGTAGAGGCGAAGTTGCTATGCTCGAGTGCGTCAAAAGGAGCGCGTGGTGAGTGTCGTGTGTGTGTGTGTGTATGTGTGTGTGTGTGTGTGTGTGTGTGTGTGTGTGTGTGTGTGTGTTGTGTGTGTGTGAGAGAGAGAGAGAGAGAGAGAGAGAGAGAGAGAGAGAGAGAGAGAGAGCTTATACACATCTAGATGTGTATACTAAATCATCTCAGGAGTCATGGAAACGAGTTTGCCGGAGGCTTAGCCCAGATTACCAACCTAACTTCGCGAGCATCACGAGAAGTTAGACTAGCGCAAAGCTACAATGGTCTGTAGCTCAGTTGATCAGACCCCCGAGCCAAACAGACAGAGCATACGGCATATGCTTTTTTTTTGTTATGGATGATTTAGCATTAGAAAGATTGGATATTGTCACCGGCAGAGTAATGCGGTATAAGTTTTCATGTAGAATGCAGGAGGGCAGATAACAGAGCTCTACTAATAAGGCTAGCGCAGTCTTCGGTTCTTTTGTTGTTTTTTTTACCTAGACTGCCCGAAATAAGTCCCCCAGCTAAACCAGCTAAGGCTGTCGGCTGTTCGGTATAATTTTATTTCGTAATTAATTAAATTTTTTTTTTTTTTTTCCCCGTTCGACAATCACCCTTGATGCGATAAAAAACATTGTCTGCATGAGTACGAATACCTGTGCATGTGGGTGCATGTGTGTGATTCATGACCCTGAGAAGGTATGTGTATGTGTGGGTATATGACACTGACTGGATGACTGTGCGCATATATGTCTGAGTATGCGTATATGTGTGTGAGAGTTTACAAAATAAGAGATCTCTATGTATGAGAAAGTGTGCGTAGATTTTGTGTGTACATGGTTGTGATGCATGATGATGTATTGTTGTGTCTGATTCTGACTAAAACCGTGTATGACTGTGACCGTAGGTTTGTAGACATAACTATGTGGTTGTATGCTTAAGACTATGTATCTGCGTGCATGACGCATGATTGATGTATTTCTGTGCGCATGCAGGACCGTGACTGTGCGCCATCCATATGTGCATATGTATGTAAGGGGGGGTGGGTATGTGTGCATATGTGAGAATACTTGCAAAGAAGCATCTCTATGTGTGAGTGTCTGTGCGTATGTACGTTCGTGCGTGAGTTTGTGTGAGTGTTTGTGCGTATGTGCGGCTGGGAGTAGGATCTCTATGTCCGTGAGTGTGTGTGTGACTGCATGTCAGTAATGCATGACCACGTATTTCCGCGTGTGTCTGTGTGTGCCCAGGACTGTGATAGTTTGTATATGTGTGGGGGTATGTGTATGCGTGTCTATGCAATTGTGAGTATACTTGTCCGAAGTGACTACATGGGCGTATCCTTTAAAGGCATGTAAATTTGTGTGCAAATGCATGCGTACTTCCAAATAGAATCTTCACATGTGTCAATATGCATTGTGAATATGTGTGTATTGTCTGTATACATGCCTATGTATACCTCTCTGTGTGTCGATGGAGCATGATGATGCATGTCTCAGTATGTCTGTATATGTGCGTAACTGACACTATGTCTGCGTGTGTGATGCTGTGTATGTGTACGTAATCTCTTTGTCCTCCCTCCCTGTCTCAAGTTTATGCTTAAACGCACATCCAAAATTCAAACCAAAGGAGTACAAATGTCTGCTTACCCCTCCAGAACACCAAATTGATATCGGTGCCTAAATAAAATAATAGTGCATGATGGCCCCACCCATTTACAGCTACTACCCAAAATACACAACGACTAAATACTAAAGCATAGCAGTAAAATTAAACCAAGTCCATACCCAACTAAAACCGCACCTTATATAAGAACTCGCATAACTAAGCAGGCCACACAACTTCTTACAAACACCTCCCTAAATCGCCAACAACATATTGACCTTATACCTGGATCGTTTGTGCAGGACACAAGGCTGCAAACAATGGATGATGGAAGACTCGGATGGAGAAATAGTAAAAACCTTGACAAAAACATAATCTTCTGCCACTACGTTAACCGGCTTATGGACAGATTCAAATTCAGATATATTTTCGAAAGAATACTCTAAAAACATAGACCTGATGCGGTACCAATACTTGAAAAATTTACCTTTTCATGGACCTATAACGACCATATATTGAAAACCCTATATAAACCAGCAACAGTATTCCATGACTTAAATCTTATGGATTGGACAGAGCTTTTGCCTCAGACTTGCTATTGCCAACAAACGAAGTTCCAATAGTACACGAATCAACTCCCCTCCGGAATGCTACCCACACAAGAAGCTGCACACGTCACGACATTAGACCTCAACATCACAACCAACACTGAGCTACGCAAAATAATGGCTATGGGACTCAACCACATCCCTCCGGCCACCACAAACATAGATGATGTAATATCTGCTACGCTATAGCTATGGACACAGTTCACTGCCATGTTAATAAAACTAGGGATGTCGCTTTATGATGAACCCAAGGCCAAACAAGACTATGACAAAGTCATTAAAAAGAATTTTGAAAATGTAAGACTCCACACTGCTGCACGATTACAAGAATATGCAATAAACCATGAAATCAACTACCTCACCAAGCATTTTTACATCTCCGGTGTCGACAAAGCTCCCAACACACCAATTATCACATGCATCAATCTGGTAAGATTTATCGCCCTCCAGAGACTTTGTAGTCCCGACTTTGAACCCCACGAAATCACAGCCACCGAACTACTGCACCTCATGAATGAACAATTGACCACCAAATTCCCTGACATACCAATTGCCAAAATGACACTACCATACCTCTTTGCTACCTACAAAAAACAAAAAAATGCATTCAGATGGTTAACTAATACCTCTGACGTCATTACTACACCCCTTGCAGACCTCGCAGCGGCTGTTTTGACTGCGCTAATAAGAATGGTCAAACTACACTGTGGAGAAATGACTCGAAAAACACTTGAAAATCTCGGTATCAAAGTACCATTCTGGTGGCCTATAGACTCAACCTCATATTACACTTATAATCTACCCCATAAGGTAACATCTGTATTTTCAGTAGATATCACACGCTGCTACGAAACCATACCTATAGACAGCAGTAAAGACAGCTTACCTGACGCCATCCTATTTTTTTCAAAACTTGCTTTTAAACAAGCAAAAAATACCTATGGCAACGGGGTTAAACTTGCCTGCAAATTCCACTGCAATAATGGCATATGGACTCCTACATGTGACTGGTACATTAACCCACCTAACGGATTCCTCATCATGAACAGCACTGCAGTCAATAAAATCAATAACTGGCTAATTAAAAATGCATATACCTCCCTCGGTAGCAAAATCTGGAGACAAATACTGGGGATCCCGATGGGAGTAAGTTGTTCACCAGTCTGGTGCAACATCTACTTCTTCAAATATGAATTCAAGTTTATGAAAAAATTAACTAACAAAAATAATACACACTCGTTGTACCTTTTTCAACATGTCTTCCGCTATTTCGATGATTTTCACATTATCAACAATCACAAAATCCACGACTTTCTAAACCCAGCCATCACCAGCACACGCAGCAAATACTACATATATCCTCTTCACCTAATCACCCTAAATGAACAAACAACGCAAAAAACGCAAAAAACGCAAGTAAATGACCTCACCATTGGAACCCAAACCGACTTCCTCAACACTACAATAACTATCACAAACCCGCAAATTGGCACATACATGACAAGTAAATATGACAAACGAAGAGAGCTCAACTTCCCCCATCGCCCGATTTGTTCAAGCCAACTCCAACAGACCCATCCAGCAATCACTCAACCTACTAATACCCCAGATCATAACAATAGTGACAATCGAATCCGAACCCCTGTATGTCGCAGAAGAAATATACCAAACAATCCTCTGCCTCATACGAAATGGTTTTAAGAAGCAGAGACTCTGCGGAATTGCAAGAAAAGTCCTTAGTAACGCTTTGAATAACCAGCCCTTCAAATGCAACCCCCAAGACACACTACAGCATTTGCTACAGTTCTCAAACCATACATAAACCATAAAACATTGTCAAAAGATTCCGCTGATTATAATAACACTCCACCACACCGAACAAAAGTTCCTCACTTAACACAATGTGCGTGTGTGCATCAGCCTAAAAAATAAAACAGGCATGGTTCGGATGGAGGACCTATCCCAGCTGGGGTAGGTCCAACATCCATGAACCTACCCCTTGGGACCCCATCACGAGGGTACGGGAAGGGACATACACACACACACACACACACACACACACACACACACACACACACACACACACACACACACATACAGCATATTCATTTCTTAATAATATTAAAAGTAATTAAGTAAGTAATTTAGTAAATAAATAATAAAATAAAAATAAGTAAAATAACAAAAATAAAATATAAAATATAAAATAAAATAAATAATTAAAATATATATATATAAATTTAATAAATAAAGTAAATAAATAAAATAAATAAATAAAGTAAACTAGTAAATAAATAATAAAAATTAATAAAAGAAATTAATAAATAAATAAATTAATTAATTTTAAAAAAAGAGAAAAAAAAATGAAATAAAATGAAATAAATAAGTTAAATAAATAAAAAAATTAAAAAAAAATAAAAATAAAAATAAAATAAGATTAAATTAAATTAAATAAAAAATTGTATAAAATAATAAGGTAAGTACCTAACCTGCCAATAAAACGAAGGAAACTTCAAAGGATTGCCTACAACCCCGATCCCAACCCACCGATAGCCTAGTGCACGCCTTTTTTGCAATTTGACAAAGCTTTGATATGTGTACCACATAACTAGGCATACCAGTTATTGGTCACCGGCTTCCTGCTTGATAGAAATATGGAATTAAAAATAACAACATAAAAATAAAGAGCGAACAGAAGACGGGCAAATAAAACAAAAGTAAAACCCGTTTTTTTCATGCGTCACGACCACTAATGCACAATCCCGAAACGACACAACTGACACGCAAGAATACAAACACGCGCACGAGGAAGGAAGAGTAGATACGACGAAAAACGAGTACGGACATAGCCACACATCATCCAATTACGACGAAAAAATGACCTTCTGCAATACACTATGAGACAACATGCACCCTACCCCTAATTAGTTCCCAGCAACAACTACACCGGCGCAAAGCGCAGCTGCAATATACCCCATATCCCCCCTACAGAGCAAGGCTATCCACTACACAGCTACCTGCCACCTATCCGAATCTCCTACA